ATACAACTGCATGGTCTCATGGATCCTGTTACCTCCTCTGCCCTAGAGGAGTTTTATGGGCTAAGTCTCTGTGTACTTGCACAATCTCTATGAGAGATCCAGCATCTGTGCTTTACTCAGAGCTCAAATGTCAAGTGGAAACCTCCTGGAAGGAAAAATCCAAGCAGTGTCTCTAGGAGAGGCATTCTGATGTTTAAGAACTGAGGCCCTGTGATCTTGGTCAGATTGTCTCCTCAGAGTCTGTCTGGCTCTCAATGTTCTGTCTCAAAATAAAAGTTGGACTTGTGAGCCAAGATCTTCCTTACTCTTGTTCTCACTGGCCTCACCAATTATGTGGCCAAGGTAATATGGTAACTCAACCAATGCCAGGCAGGAACTTTTCACATTGTTGGGTGAAACTGAATAAAATGAATGCATTTGAAAGGCTTGGTCCATAAATCAGAACAGTTAGACCAGAAGGTCCACAGAGCCACTCAGAGAACATGCTCTGAACATGTGCTTTTAGGGGAATTCTTTGGCAGGAAAATCTTACTGTGGAAGCATAAAGCTGTCATGAGTCTTCCTTTGCATTAGACAGGTTTGCTCCCATGTGAGGTGAGCATCAAGGATGGCAGCCCCATATTGTTTATCTCTAGCTGAGAATCACAAGAGACTGTGCCAAAAGTCAGCCTCTAGGGAGAACAATTACCACATCGCCCATTCTCAAATACAAGAAATAAAATATGTCTTCAGTACATGACATTTTCCCTTTGCTAAACACACTTGGGTGTGTCTCGTTATTAGGGCTGGTACTTGAAATAAACAGACAAGGGGCTTGGAGGCTGCTTTTCACTGGGGGTGGCTCTATATTAAGGCCAGGGCCTGAGGTAGGCAGGCCCAGGGCTTGGAGGCTGCTTTTCTCTTGGATGTGGCTCTTTAATAAGGTCAGGGACTGAAGTAGGTAGTCCTGGGTCTTGGAGGCTGCTTTTTCCTTAGGTGTGGCTCTATATCAAGGCCAAGGCCTGAGGTAGGGAGACGAGGGCTTTGAGGCTGCTTTTTGCTTGGGTGTGGCTCTATAGTAAGGCTTGGGCCTGAGGTAGACAGGTGCAGAGCAGTTAGGAGCAACTAAAGGAGATGAACTTGCCTGTCAGTTTGTCCTCCTATGGTGGCTTACATGTTGCTGTGAGGCTGGAGGCTATGCCACCATATTGCAAAATGCCAACAGGATTACCCATTGTGGAGAGGTTTCAGTGGAGCTTCTGGGTTTAGACAGACTCTGAAGAAGGAAGAGGCCATCCACTTCTCAAGGAATTGACCAGTGAAAACCTTATGAATAGCAGTGCAACACTGTTTGATATATTACTGGAAAATTTTATGAACAGCCCTGAAACATTGACTGACATAGTGCCGGAAGATGAGCCCATTAGGATGAAAGGAACTCAAAATTTGACTTGAGAAGAGCTGACTCCTCAGAGTAGAAACGACTTTAACGATATGGATAGAGTAAAGCTTTTGGGACCTCCATTGGCTGATGTGCCATGACTCAAACTGTGCAAAAACAGATGCAAACATCCATTACTGATTGGAACATGGAATGTACGAAGTATGAATCTAGGAAAACTGGAACTTGTCAAAAATGAAAAGGAACACATAGAAGTTGATATCATAGGCATTAGTGAGCTGAAATGGACTGGTTTTGGCCATTTTGAATCAGACAACTATATGATCTACTGTGCTGGAAATGACCAATTGAAGAGGAATGGTGTGGCATTCATCATCACAAAGACTGTTTTAAGATCTGTCCTGAAGTACAATGCCATCAGTGATAGGATAATATCCATATGCCTACAAGGAAGACCAGTTAATACTACTATTATTCAAATTTACGCACCAGCTGCCAAAGCCAAAGATGAAGATATTGAAGATTTCTACAAACTTCTGCAGTTGGAAATTCATTGAACATGCAATCAAGATGTATTGATTATCACTGGTGACTGGAACACAAAAGTTGGAAACAAAGAAGGGTTACTGGTAGTTGGAAAATATGGCCTTGGTGATAGAAATAATGCTGGAGATCGCAAGACCAATGATGTATTCATTGCAAATACCTTTTTTCAACAACACAAGTGATGACCACACACGTGGACTTCACCAGATGGAATACACAGGAATCAGATTGACTACATCAATGGCAAGAGGCAATGGAGAAGTTCAATATTTTCAACCAAAACAAGGCCAGGAGCTGATTGTGGAACAGACCATCAACTCTTCATATGCATATTCAAGTTGAAGTTGAAGACAATTAAAACAAGTCCATGAGAACCAAAATATGACCTTGATAATATCCCTCTTGAATTTAGAGACCATTTAAAGAATAGATTTGATACATTGAACACTGATGACTGAAACCCAGAGTAATTTTGGGATGACATCAAGAACATCACCCATGAGGAAAGCAAGAGGTCATTAAAAAGACAAGACGGGAAGAAAAGACCAAAATGGATGTCAGAAGAGACTCTGAAACTTGCCCTTTAGCAGAAAGTGGCTAAAGTAAATGGAGGAATAACAAGATAAAGGAGTTGAACAGAAGATTTCAAAGAGCAGCTTGAAGAGATAAAGCCAATTACTGTAATGAAAGGTGCAAATACCTGGAGTTAGAAAAGCAAAAGGGAAGAACAGAACATGCTTGGCATTTCTCAAGCTGAAAGAACTGAGGAAAAAAATTAAGCCTCAAGTTGCAATATTGAAAGATTCTATTGGGAAAATATTGAATGATGCAGGAAACAACAAAAGAAGATGGAAGGAATACACAAAGTCACTGTACCACAAAGAACTGGTAGGTCTTCATCTATTTCAGGAGGTGCCACATGATCAAGAACCAATGGTATTGAAGGAAGAAGTCAAAGCTGCACTGAAAGAACTGGTAAAGAACAAGGCTCTAGGAACTGATGAAATACCCATTGAGATGTTTCAACAAATGGAAGTCCTGCTGGAGGGACTCACTCTGGTATGCCAAGAGATTTGGAAAACAGCTACCTGGCCAACTGACTGGAAGAGATCCATATTTGTACCCCTTCCAAAGAAAGGTGATCCCACAGAATGTGGAAATTATCGAACAATATCATTAATATCACATGCAATTAAAATCTTACTGAAGATAATTTAAAAATGGCTGCAGAAGTACATTGACAGAGGGCTTCCAGAAATGCAAGCTGGATTCAGATGAGGACTTGGAACAAGGGATATCATTGCTGATGTCAGATGGATCTTAGCTGAAAGGAAAGAATACCAGAAAGATGTTTACTTGTGTGTTATTAACTGGGCAAAGCATTTGATTGTGTGGATCATAACAAATTTGCATAACATTGAGAAGAATGGGAATTCCAGAACACTTGATTGTACTCATGAAGAACCTGTACATAGATCAGGAGGCTGTCGTTTGAACAGAACAAGGGGATGCTGCATGGTTGAAAATCAAGAAGGGAGTCCATCAAGGTTGTGTGCTTTCATCATACTTATTCAATTTGTATGGTGAGCAAATAATCCGAGAAGCTGGATTATATGAAGAAGAACATGACATCAGGATTGGAGGAAGACTCATTAACAACCTGAGATATGCAGATGACTCAACTTTGCTTGCTGAAAATGAGGATGATGTGAAGCACTTACTGATGAACATTAAAGAATACAGTCTGCAGTATGGATTATACCTCAGTGTAAAGAAAACAAAAATCCTCACAACTGGTCCAATAAACAGCTTTTTGGTGGATGGAGAAAAGATTGAAGTTTTCAAGGAATTCTTATTACTTGGCTCCACAATCAACACCAATGGAAGCAGTAGTCAAGACATCAGATGACGTATTGCATTGGGCAAATCTGCTGCAAAAGACCCCTTTCAAGTGATGAAGAAAAAAGATGTCTCCTTGAAGACTAAAGTGTGCCTAACCCAAGCCATGGTATTTTCAATCGCCTCTTATGCATGTGAGAGCTGGATAATGAACAAGGAAGATGGAAGAAAAGTTGATGCTTTTGAGTTGTGGTGTTGGGGAAGAATTCTAAGAGCACCATGGCCTGCTAAAAGGACAAACAAGTCTGTCCTGGAAGAAATGCAGCTAGAATGCTCCTTGGAAGTGAGGATGGCCAGACTTTGTCTCACCTACTTTGGTCAAGTTGTCAGAAGGAACCATTCCCTGGAGCTGGATACCATGCTTGGTAAAGTGGAGGGTCAACAAAGTAGGGGAAGGCTCTCAATGTGATGGATAGACACAGTGGCTGCAACGATGGCCTCAGGTGCAGCAAGAATCGTGAGGCTGGCACAAGGCAGGGCAGTGTTTCATTCTGCTGTGCATAGGGGTCACTAGGAGTCACAGAAAACTCAACAACACCTAACAACAGCAACAACAACAAACACAGGCATAAGGAGTTCTGGTGGTACAGTGGTCAAAGCATACAGCTGCTATTAAAAATTCCAGTGAATCCACCAGCTGTTCCACCAGAGAAAGATGTAGTAGTCTGCTTCTTTAAAGATTTACAGCCTTGGAAACCCTATAGGGTAGTTCTACTGTGTGCTATTGTGTTGCTATGAGTTGGAATCAATGAACCAACAACAGGTTTTTTTTTGTTTAAACATGGGAATGGCAAGAGTGTGCATTATTTTGAGTGATTAGTTTACTTGAAACTAAGTTAGCTGCTGGTTTTCTCCGACCATCCCATGACCACTTACTCTGTGTAATAAGGGGTCTCAGTAGCAGGAGGCTATGGAGAGAGGGGACTCACTATTCTGGGATTCCAACCCATCTGGCATAGATTACTAAACTATGTGACCTTACTTGAATCACTTAACCTCTCTAAGCCTCAATTCCCTCAGCTATAAAATAGAAATGATAAAATATTCTCCTTGACAGAATTATTGTGAACATTTGGTGAGCTAATTGATGTAAGTGCTAAATAACTCCAGCCTTCCCCTCCCCTGACCTGTATCATAGCCTTAGATTACCTTTTTCTCCCAGGTTCAGACTCACCCCTGGCATGATGATCTTTTCAACATCGATCATGATGTCCTCAAAGGTATCTGGCTCCTGGGGTGCGGTAGTGGGGATCAGGGGGCGCAAGTAGCCAGGCTCCACATCTGGGTAGACTTGGCGTTCCTCTATGCCTTCCAAGTAGTCAGCCACATAGTCCACCATCTCTTTCCCTGTTTTGCGGAACTCACTTGCATTCATGGTGAACTACACAAAAAGAGAAAGGAAAGGAATTAGCAAACACCTCTGGTAGCATAGTGCCTAAGGCCCTTGACTGCTAACCAGAAGGCTGGTGGTTCAAACCCACCAGCCACTCCTCGGAAGGAAGGTTGAGAGATCTACTTCTGTAGTGATATTTCCTTGGAACCTCAAGGAGGGGTCGCTATGAGTCAAGTCTGACTCAAAGGCACATAACAATAACAACAACACAACCTCTAAACTAGAATGAGGTGATTCTAACCAAGGTAACTGTTAGGGCCGCTCTAGAAATGACTCTCATATCCTGAATACCAAGCCCAAGCCAAGAGATGTTCTTCCATGTCTGGATGGGGTGGAAAGACACTGCATTTATAGACTGCAGCAACAGATGTACAAGATGGCAGAATAGGCAGAAAGACTGCACAGACCCTCTTCAACAAAGAAAAGGGAAACCAATTAACACAGACACAGAAGAAAATCCTGGACCCCTGAGCCTTGAAGGGAAGGATATAGAAGTGGACTAAACCCCAACTAGCGGAAGAATTTTCATGAAAATACCAAAAAAGGAGACATACGGAATCGCAGTCTGTCAGCAATCCTGAGTAATCCTGACAGCACAGAAAGCTTGGAGATTCCCGAGTGGTGGTAGGACCTAAGAATTAACCTAAAAATCAGCCCTGCAAGCAAGGGACTGCACGGAGGACTGCTCTGGTGGCTGGGGAATAAAAGGTGAAGCCCTGGGGAAGAGGAAGGCGGGCTGACCTGTGGACTTTTGCCTATCCGGAGGGTGCTACCATTTTGAATGTTTACAAGTGGCTTGACCATTTTGGATATTTAAAGAGACAGCACTCTCTGAGATTCCAGGGGCTTAAGAACAGGTTCTGCTTGCCAGAAACCCCAAGGACACTCAGGACCTGCACAACTGAAAAGGTGCAACATTTTTCTTATTACTCTTATATCCCACACCCGCTTGATGAACGGAAGTGTGGCCATTCCCCACTCCCACCCACCTTCTGGGCCTGCAGGAACTCCATCCCAGTGTGTGTGCTTGAACAGAGCCTGGGTGCCTTGCCCTGTCCTCCACCGATTTTTTTTTTTATTATTATTATTTTTATTTTCTCTTTCTTTTTTTCTGGTGTTTAGTTTGCTTGTATTTGTCTATTTAAAAACTACTATTATTAATAATACTTTTGTTCTTTATACTATTATTCTTTACTCTTCCACTCCCAGGTCCTAGTTTTCAGCTTTCTTTCTTTTCCCTGTTCCTAGTTGAAAATTTATTTTTAATTTAATTTTTTTTCTTTTTCCTCATGGTTAACCCCATTCCTTGTTTTTTCTTTTTTTTCTTACATTTTTTTTCCTATTTTTCTTCATTATTCTCTTTCTCCACCTTTTTTCTCTTAGTGTCCTATCCCCAGATATTGAAGGTTTTCCTTTTTTCTTCTTCTTCTTTTTCCTTTTTTTCTTATTTTGGTTACTGTTCCTGTGTGATTACACACAGGATGTGTGTAATTTTTTGTCCATGTGCTTTTAGTTTTTTGATGGTTATTCAATTGTAATTTTTGTCTAACTGAGTGGGAGACAGCAACAGTCCCCATAAGACACAACTACACCCACACCTCTTACCTCCTCCTTCTCCACCAATGGGCCGATGATAAAAAACCACCAAGAAAAGCCTGAAT